GTCTACTGAGCTAATTCTGCAGCACAGGAAAGACTGTTTTATTGTTTTTCAAACAGTTTGGGGTTGACCACTTGTATATTTCACTATTCTCTTAAATTACCATTTTTAAAAATAATTTACTGTTTGAAATTGAAAAAAGTTTTGATCATAGGGTTCAGTATGGCATTTGCAAGAGTCAAACCACACAAACTAGCAAACTATTGTAGTACCATTGGCAGTAATTTGTCCCCTCCTCTTCTAATACTCTAATTGACAAAATCACCCTATTTTCAATTCAAATTTGGTTCCTCCCCCCAAGATAAGATCATTGACAGTTTAACAGAAGATAAAATGATATCTGATATACAATACAGAGGTTCACACACTTCAACCTGTGAGGTTAAAATATCTTGATGTCAAACTGATTTTCACAGTTTTAAGCAGATGCAACACCAATTGAAAGCCAGGAGGAAAAACTAAAAAAACACAGAACACAAAAACTCAGAGCATGTAAGTTTGGTACTTAAATACAAATTTAGCTGCTTTACTGTATCCTGCAATATCTGAAGAGGCAGATCCTGGATTAGGATACCTTTTGAACCCTTAGTGCTAGAGATACTATTGAAAATCAGCTAAAATTATTACTTACCGTGCTTACTATTCAAAAGCCACTATTTTCTAGAGATTTACCTCTCTGTTGCATTAGCACAGATTTTTTTAACACAGAAAATAACACAGTATATCACATAGAGCAGCATAGTTGGTAATGATAAAGTGTGGGGGGTTTTTGTACCGCAACCACTAAAATTATGTCATAAGTGAAAAATAAAATGATCAAGACTGTATGTAAACATATATACACACTCCACTAAATTAAAATAGGGCACTGTAAAGTTTTCTTTCTCTCCAGCTTCAGTCTGCCTGTAAGTTTTCTTTCTCTCCAGCTTCAGTCTGCCCATAAGAAGAATAAAACAAAACAAAAAAAACCCCAGCAGTCTGAACATAGACAATCATTTTACAGCAAGTTATCTTTGTATTTCATTTATCTCCTGTTAATGGCAGAAGGTAAATACAAATTCTGGAAAAAAAAATATTCCCAAACAAAAAAAAAAGACATAGACAATCATTTTACACCAAGTTATATTTGTATTTCATTTATCTGCTGTTAATGGCAGAAGGTAAACACAAATTCTGGAAAAAAAAAAAAAAAAATTGTCCCAGGATCATTTCCACAGCTGCAAAGGGAAGCACAGAAAAAGTATCTGTTTAGCTGTGCTTTGTTCTTTAATAGAACAGACCAACCAAGGCTGAGGACATCTTGTAAAAAGTCATGATGATTTATAACAAAACATTTTAGAACATATGTTGCATATGCATGTTAAAACTGTTACACAACATTCTATTTTCTAGCTAACTTCTGCTCAGCTGCTTGCTTCAGAGGAGTGCAATATCATGGAATAAAGGATAGTAAGGACAAACTCAGATATGAGGCATGAAGCACATAAACATACAGAATTCCCCCTACTCAACAAGATAGCTCATTGGTCAAGGTAAGGACAGGGAAAGCACTTACCATCATGGGCAAAACAATGTCAACTACTGCCAATTAGAACACATTTGGATAGTAAGAAACAAAACCAAAAAGACTAAACTTAACTATGTTTTCAGAGGCACCACCAAGCTCACTGATGGGCTCAGCCGTGGCCTGCAGTGGACCAACACCTCACCAATTCCTCATCTGCCTTGTCCCTTCTTCTGAAATCAAAGCCAATTAGCAATGTTTGAGGAACCGTCAATTCCTCTGCCTGAATAAAGTTCACAGTTCTAGGGACAATGCTTTTTCTCTGTGTTACTGATCTTTTTTCACCTTGTATTATGGCCATATGACTAGCTGTTAACAACAACCCGAAGCATGCACTACTCCAAATATACCGTTTGGCCTTACTGTTACAACCTCTGCACAACAATCCTCTAAAACAACATTATACTTGGAACTCCAGCTGATAGCAAAAGATTGTATATTACAGCTGTTATAGTTCAGCATTTTTAAGCTCACAGTATTTTCTATGATGCTGTCTGAATTCTTCATGAAGTAATTTCTATTCCATCACTGCACAGATAGGGATTCTATTATGAGGTACCTTATCTCAGGGACAGGGTTCTTAAATGCTTATCCCAATGCCACTTTTCCATTTACATACTACGACTGACAAATAGGTTCCATCCATATTTTTGTTTACTGACCCATTTCCTGTGTGGAAACAAATTTGATTTAAAACAGCCCTGAAGTATAGCAATGGAGAAATCTAATGTGTCTCTGCCATACAAAGGTAGCTGAAAGGAAGCGCAGCACTCAAAAAGACAAAATATAAGAAACAAGTAGATGGCACAAGTCACTCAAGTCTTATGCTATTCTTCTAAACTTTATTTTCAGGACAATTTTTGCCACATAAGTCTCTCCCTCTCAAACTAAACTTTATTTTCAGGACAATTTTTGCCACATAAGTCTCTTATCTCCCTCTCAAGCTTCTTAATCCCATATGTTTAATTCCTTGAGTACCACCCACTGGATCTGTTTCAAAAAGCAGGAAGATAGAAGAGATATTTCTAAAAATGGAGGATACTAGTCTTCAGCAATCAGACTCAGGAAGACAGAATTAATGCTCACAAAGGCTCATATGATTGTTTCAGGACTGATACAACATAGGATTGGGACAGTCTTAAGAACAGAAGAATTAAATTATCAAATAAAGCTGCAGAAACTTTTACATAACTGCTGCTGACTTCCCTTTCCACATCATTACTTTATTCCCTTTATTAAACAGAGATCAAAAAAAACATTCCACTTATAGATAGCTCCATCCTCAAGCTATTTCTGTACATTCTAAAACAATTCATATGCAGAAGCACAGCACTTAATCTTCATGAAACAGAAGATTTGAGCCAAAACTTCATGAGATCTCCAAAGTTCTCTCTGCACTACTACATAAACCCCATTTTAAAATGTTGTCAACTTTAAGAAGAAACACACAAATATTATTATTTCCTGAGGACTTTTTTCCTAGGAAAAAACCTGAAGCAGTCCAATACTCTGACACCCCAGAGAAATTTGTTTGCAGACTAGAAGAATGTTTCCTACCTTTTATTTACCTAGTTTAAGCCTAACTTTGGATCAATCATCTTGCTAGGAATTTCCCAGTAAAAGGGAAAATGGTGCTAGAGCGGTCCCTGTAATAGTAACAGTTCTTTTGGCAATGTTTGAAGTGCAGATGGTGTCCAAGATATGCCAATAACTTAAGCAGGAGCTTCCAATAAAATCTCTTGTAGTGCATGTTGTAATCTGTGAATCAAAGTGATAGGGGCAACCCTAGGTATTTGGCACTTTTATTCTACATGTAGTTGGTTTAACAACCTTATATGCAGGCACATCCCTCAGGCAAACGTCTGCACTCCAAACACATTTGTATTGTCCCAGGCATAAGTCACCTCTAACCAAATTGATTCATAGTCTCCAGAAAAGAAAATCATCATCAGAAACACAGAAATTACTTCCATCTGATCTACCTTGCAGTGACAGAACCGTAAAAAAACATTTCCTCAAGTGTTCCTTTGAGCTCTTTCCAGCTCATTATTGCATTCAATGGCCAAAATTAAATGATTTTAGGAACATGAAATGTTCCTAAATGATGATTCCTGCTTATGAATGTTGCTCAGAGATTTAAAACCACACAAATGGTTCTACTAGAAACAATCCATGTATTTACAAGGATATCACCATTTTCCATATAATTAAGCTTCTTTTTCTCAAACAGGAGATTGGAATACACACTGCTGATGAGATCATTTACTGACAGAAAACCAACACATAAGGTTTAGACACTGAAGTGGCATCTTCATGTTGGTGTATCTATTTTAATTAGCTTTACTTTTCATGTAGAGTAACTAAAACATTAAGAAGTCAGCCAGACAGATAAGCAAAGAACTGTTTTTCAAATAGCTCCATGAAATGAGCAAGAATAAAACTTGAAGAGTGTTATATTTACCTCTGTAGCTCCCAGGGCACTTTTAAGAACACTGGGTCAGGTACACTGAGACACTGAGAAAATGTGCAATTTCTTTCCCACTGAGCTGTCAAGGCATTCATGCTGTGAATAGCTAACACCCTTCTTTGACAACGAGGCAAATATTTCTATTTTCTGCCATTCTAGTCATGAAGTATCTCAGCGTCGCCTCAGCTGATTTAGTGCCAATTCAAGTCAGACTTTAGATGTCTGAGGTAGTAACCGGACCAAATATTCTTGATGAAGCCTTGTCACAAACTCACAGACTGCTGCTTAATACATTTCCAAATAGTTAGATAGTAAAAAAAGGTTGTAAAGTTGAAAAGGCAGCTGAGAAGCAGAACACACATTCACTGAACTGCCAGAATGGAGATTTAAGTAGTGCATACAAGTCAAACGTACTGCTGCTTCTATTTATTCTTAGCATAGATTTAAAAAAAAAAAAAACAACCTCTTAAACTTTTAAAAGACTATGTAATTCCTTAAAATCAATTCTTTTCCATACTTTGAAAATTTATGTGTTTAGAGAAGCATAACTGATAACGAAGTCTATCCAGGCAGAACTGAAACAAGGCTAAACGAACGCATACTATTCAAACGATAATTACACAAAGATAAGATAAACATTATTTTTTCTTAAATCTTTTCAAATATAAACTTCTGCACCTATTGACCAGCAGTTTTTATTACCAATACCATAAAAGTGGAAGATAGAATGAAGGTAAAAAAATATTTCTTTCAGTGGAGACAGGTCCTATGGAACTGGCTCAGAAACCACTGGATTAGTACTTCACAGCTTTTTTTTTTTTTCATGGGCTAAGAATGAGCAGGCAGGAATAATGGTTCAGTGCGTGAATAAACAAATACAAAAAGCAACAAAATAAATTCTTTAGAATAGAGATTCTGTGCCAAGACTTTAGAGTATATCCCTTATATGAGTATGACTTGAGCAGCACTTACCAATACTGGCATAACCAGGTGTGGATGGATCTCCCCCGCTGTTCAAGGACACCATAAAAGCTTTATCAGCAAGGTCTGTCTTTGGTAAGTCACAAGGATCAACGTAAAGAAGAACACCACCAAACCCTGCATCTTCTAACAGAGAAAGCTGAGGGAGCAAAACAACATAGGTGACTATTAACAAAAATTACGTGAGAACACATTATTTATTTTAATTACTGTTGAGATGGAAGCTTTACCATCAGGCTCTCGCCATACTTTGCTACGTACAAACAGAATAGAGACAAGTGCAGCTCCAAACTGCTTCTAATATTAATACAGCAGCAAATCTTTGAAAAGACAAATCAAAACGCCAAAAACTAATTCAATATCATGTTTCCCAATTCATGTCAGAAGCTACTTTCAAGGCTTTATGAACACCCCAGCTTGAGTTGGTAACTGTAATTAGCCTTTCCAAAATTCCATAGATCTGGGGCAGCAAATTAGGCAAACTTCCCCAGAGTAAAGGACAAAAGCATCCCTGCACCATAACTTGTAGCATTCTATAGATCAATTGTGACTGAAAAACCTCAGGTTTTCGCCTTCATAAAGGACTAAAAATAAAATTTAGAATGTATTCAGACCTCAAATGTAATGCAGAAACAAAAATTTCCAAAATGGTAGGTTTGTTTATTATTATATTGTTCTGTTTCCAATTTATGTTCGTATTCAGCTATTCAGCCAGGATTTGATTGCACAATAAAAGGGGTGGGGACACCACAGCAGAAGCAGGATGCACCGTTACTCCATGATGTAACAACCAGTATTTAAAATAACCATTGTCTTTGCTTTTCCTGCATCCATACCCAGTATCTTTTTATTCATCTCTAGTCTTATTTAATAGCGTAGAAGACAGGAAACGCAGATGCAGTATGTTCTGGTTTTTTTTAAGGGAGTTTTAAAAACTTTGTAGTTAACAACAATCACTATTAAATTCCTCTGTTTCACTGAGAGAAGGTAACTACACAGTTGTTATTCACAAAGAGCAGCAACCACTGCTGCCATGGCTACAATCTCTAGTAAGAAGTCGTGTTGTACATGTGAAATTATAAAATAGCCTTCAGATTTCAGCTAGAATTGCTGCTTTTTAACTTTCCAACAGTGACATCACAACTATGCCAACACTAAATGAGCATTATTGCTTCCATTTTCATCTTAAATAACTCAAGGCCTTAACAACCACAAAGTGCCCTAGCACAAAGAATCTGAGAAAGGTACTGAATATTTTTTTCACAAGGCTATAGATTGTAGACTAAGTCTCTCAGGTAAACTGGCACACACCTACTCGATGGATTATTTTAGATTGTAAAACCATCAGCAGATTCTGGTCCTGATAGTTTTGGGTGTATCCCTCCTCCCTCTCCCAAAGCCACAAACATCTCAAGAATAAAATGGAAACAGCAGAACCCTTCACAGGAAAACAGATGCTGGTGCCACTGTTAACCCTTTCCTTGTTTACGGCTGCTTAAATCCTCAGTTTTTAAAGTTACTTAAAAAAAACAGTAACTCTTTCAATACAGTATATTAATTCACCCCATAAAACATTCTGGACTCAGTTTAATGTAATATGAGACACGTTGCTTTATCAAAGGCTCTGTCATGTAACTGGGGACAGATTAGCTTTGTAAGCTCTACACACCATAAGGCACCATTAAAACACCTTTTTAAGAAGAAGTGTGTGAAGCAGAGAAAAGACACATCTTCATTTTAAGTAGTGATTAGTGATTTTTGGAGGCCTTTATTTTACTTGGGGAGATTCCTATAAAGCCTGAATGTAAAGTGCAATAACTATATCAGCATTTAGATACATTAAGAAGGTATACTAGTAACACATTGAAGTTTCTGGACAGGAAAGCAAGACAACTGATCTGGAAGAGTAAACAAAAGCAGTTCTTTAAACAGGCAGATTTCATGATCAACTGACGAGGTGCATCACAACACACTATAGTCCTAAAAGTGATAGTTAATAGTGATTATGAATACATCAGAAAAAATAGACGATGCAGGTAACTGTGGACTCTATCGACATACTAATCATATATCAAAGTATCTCATTAGCAATTCTTCCCACTCTGTTTGCAAGAGGTCCCAAAATACTGCCAAACCTTCTGAGACTCGCTGTGCCACTGTCTAAACAGTTCTCCATCCTTGTGAAACCCCTCTGGAGTCATTCATGTTACACAGTGTCAGCATTGAGGTTCATCTTACTCTCTCTCTCCTGCTGAAGGTCATCCCTTCTCTCTCCCTCCTACCCCCCTCCAAAATAATAATGGCTATGCTTTATAAAGTACAATACCAGCCCCATTACTGAAATATACAGCCTCTGTAAGACTTCTTTACTCTGCTTTCTATGCTTGTCCATTTATGTGTCCATTTATCCACAGTAATGATAGAACCACTGATTAGTTGGCACAAAAGACTTATTTCACAGGAGGAAATATCTTGGTGTATTCCTGCAAGTTTAGTGAAAATGGGATATTGAGTCAACAAGAGGCAGATCCTGCTAATGCACTACACTGAGAAGGCATTAATAAAATCTGGAGAGCTTACCCCTTAATGGAAGGGGGAAAAAACATATAAGAAATCACAAGAGACAGAGTGACAGATGGATAAGAATATAGAAACTTGGACCACAAATTAGACACCACAAAATCTTATCTCAAGAAACAAAGCCACGAAAAACCTGTTCACTAACCACTGGAACACCTTGTTCATTTATCAAATGATACATTATGTAAGATGATGCAGTTCAGCACAGGACATATTGGCTTACATTTCTATATAATACATGACTGTCAGCATGGAAGGTTCTATCCTTACGCAAAACAAGTAGCACTAACCCTGTGCCCGCAAAAGCTAATTTAAAATACAGCAACTCTCAAATGCATTTCCCCATTTGGATATACATCAACCAGAGCTTTTTAGCATGTGATAAATCAAACTCTAGCGCTGGAAAAAAAATGAACCAGATCTCTTAATTTTCTTATAGGTTCCAGCCTGTTACATTTTACTTCTCAATACCAGGTTCAATAAAAATCCAGTGACATTCTCTTATTAGATCAAATTCTGCTTTCAACTGTATTTCATAAGCCTTCAGCCTTTCCATCATTACACAATGGTTAAAATGTATCAGTAAATAAAACCATATGAAGTAGCTTCACAATGGTATTTAAGATTTCTGTTTTGCCTAGTTATCATGTACTTTCAATACTAGTATAATTTAAGAGACCTCTAGCACACCATGCTGTCTTAAGCCAAAAGTGCCTCAAAATGTAGTTTTCAACTTCAGAAGGCATTCACGTGCATGTATTTCACAGTACTACTGAAAGTGCAGATCTTGGCTGTATCCTCACTCCTGTACACAGATACTCACATGAATAGACACTATCAGGCTGTTCACCGAACCTATTTGCATGTTTTTAAGGTCTTTCTACTGTGTCACCACAACTGGCAGAAAGAGGCTCCTGTATTAACCAGAATCAAAGCAATTACGCCATACACTAGGATTCTGACTGTTGTCAGTACCAAGAAGATTATATACTCATCCTCTGTGAATTTCCTTGTATGAAAACCTTGACATTTCAGTCACAACTGAAAGTTGCAGTAATTAAAAAGGAACTGAGAGGCTCTGGAGAAAGGCTCCTTTGGTATACCAACCTTCACCACTAAAGCTTTAAGTGGTAAATTAAGTAAGCATTTCTCTTCTTTCTTAACTATTATAACCACATTATTGTTAAAAAAAAAAAAAAAGTATATCAAAGTATGTCTGTATCTGGCAAAATAACAGAACCCTAAATAAAGGGATTACGCATGCTATAGCTACAGGCACTTAAAGAATGCTTAAGCATGGGATTTTTTTAGGCTTAATGGAGCTGTTTGCACTCCTTAAATCTGCACACAAAATTACAAAAATGGTATTTTACACAATGTCTGCATTACTGCAAATCACACCACCGTTCATTAGACACAAAGGCCTTTAATTGACAACTACTGACAGTACAGCAAAACTCATACTAGATCATGCTATTATTCTAGCATATGACTTCATCATAGAACTTCAGGCCCAGGTTTCCTCTTCCTAAAGCCAGATTCACAATCGCACTCTTTATTGCAAGTCCGTTCAGGTGCTAACACTGTGAAAACTGGACATAATGCATTCATAAAATAAAAACTATATGGATATTCTGCCTTATGTGTTATTTACTTGTATATAATTTTCACCCCCTCTTCTCTGCTCCTTCTAGGTAACCCACACAAAAACGCATGCAGAATTTTATATTCAAGGTCATAACACATATGGATCATCGAAACAAAAAACATTTTAAAGAAGAAAAACTAATCAGAAGAGCAAACAATACAATACATACAATGATATTTCAGAGGGAGAAAGAAAATGTCTCAAAGATATATGACAAAATACACCTATGACTCTCTCTTTAAAATCAAACATATTCATAAAAATGTGTAAAAGCTCTATCTCCTATTGTCATCACACTTCAGTGCAATGATCAGCATTAATTAGAAAAATAACAGTAACCAGTTTTTAACTACTGCATTTTTCAATTCGTAGTGCAACATGCAAAAGACACGGTTCATTATTCTGAGACACAGCTTTACTAGCTGGACAGGCTACAAGTTATTAATTACTCTTTTCTACTGAAGTCCCAATTAAAATCATGATGCTCTGAAAGGAACTCCCATCTCATTTTACTAATTGGCAGTACGTAAAATTACCAAGCAAGGGGAAAGTGCCATTTAAACTGTTGGAAGACCTCACTGACATAACATCTTTTTATTTCTGGAACAGATTGCTTGAGTAGAAAAATAAGACTTTGCATACTGCAGATTTAATTAGATGCCACTGTCCTCTCAATTACCTGCTATAATACAGGGTACTTGGAAGATACAATGGTACCACAAACAAGACTCTAGGCAGAAAAAAAACACACCTAGAAACACATATCTACATTTTTATACAACTCTTCCAAGTTTCATATTTTTAAACAAGTAACAAAGGTCCGTTTTGGGCTTCAGCTTAATTTTTCGATACTACACTTAATGTTTAGACACCCAGATTTCCCATCACAGAGATCTAGGGACAGTTTTCAA